TCGAGTTATGACATGGTTTCTAAGAATTTTTGATTCCTTTGAATGTTCAATAATTTATTGAATTCAGAGAAACATGAAATATGCTATCGACAAATAACAATAAATTTTAGAGCCTAAAAATATATTAAAAAACAAAGATTAGCTCATGATTGGTAGAAATTAAAATTAAAATTTTAATCCAAATAAAATTTATAATTAATTTTAACCACATATTTCAAAAAATCACAACATTTTAATCACACATATCATCAATTTTTATTAAAATCTACTAAAAAAATCTAATTTTAATCTTCAAAAAACGAAGTCTAGTGTTGTTGTTGGATTTATTTTAAATAAATGCACGTATAAACTTGATTGAAGAAGGAAACAAAACGTCTAATCTCACGTCTCGTTCATCTTATCCCAGTGTTGGACCCCTCCTTAACTTTGTCTTGTAAAGTTCTTTATGATTATCGTCAAAATAAACACCGTGCCAGATTGGTACAACATAAAAAAAAAAAAAAAAGTATTAAAAAATTGAGGTCAAAGTTTTAATTATGTAATTTATTGAACAATTAAATTTTATCAATATTTTAATCAAATATTTCATCATTTTTTAAAATCAAAATTTGCTAAATTTTTATTAAAAACTTTGTCAAACAATTCATTTATTTGGAATTTTTTTTTTTGATTTTTCAACCATATTGTTTACTTGGCCCCTTAGGCAAAATACAAACTCCTATATCAGACGTAAGAAGCCCCTCCAAGAGGGTAAATAAATTCAATCTGCGATCAATAAATTTATAGCAAAATTTCAGTTGGGTAACAAAACTTTATTCAATCTCAATTTGTACTGAATTTAATGACAAAACTTTAATATAGTGTGAAAATCTCTCCACAACTTGACATATCTCACATGTTTTCCACATAATCGCCGTGTATCGTGTTAATTTAACACTACAATAAATCATAAAAATGTAAAAATAATAATTAAAACACGAACTTTAACATTTGAGACTAATGACATTGTCATAACTTTCATTTTACTATTTTCATTTTTAGGGTGCCACTATATCAATTATCGTGGAAAATCAGTTATGGCACTGCCAACTAAGCAATTTTCTATCAGTTTAGGGGACGACAACTAACGGAATGTAATAGAATTATAAAGAATAATGTTATGCAATCCTACTGAGATTACAACCCCAATTTAGATGACGTTAGATGATAAACTGAATAAAAGGTGAAAATAATTTACTTATTTAATTTAATGTCATATTAACGCCACCTAGATTGGAATTATAATTCCAATGGGGCTAAATAATATTATCTAATTATAAAACTTAAAATCAAATTGAAGTTTAAAGACCAAGTTGAAATAAATTAAAGTTTATGAATCCAACGGTAGTCTTTCTTGAAGTTCAGTGACCATGGATTAAATTTTCCCCACCAAAGAACTTATGTCCAAAACACATCAAACTGTCTTCAAGTACTTGGCCATTTACGTGTAAAAGTCATTTTGCCAATTTCTGCATGGACCCTCTTCAACTTGTCAACCTCTTCCAAACTAATTCATAAACCCAAAATTTTATTCAATACACCGATATCACGTCTAACACTATGTTCGGACAGAATCAATACCAGACATCGATTCCTAAGCCAACAGGTGAAGATACTACCAAACTTTCGCCTAAGATCAATGTCCCCACTCACGGGATACAATTCGTAACAAGTGTTGAGTTTTTATCAGAATCTGGTCCCACGAAATTGCCCTCTAGAGGTATGAACCATTTCTTTGAAGTGTCATTGTCATTTCTCTGTAGCTCTGATCTGAATACGGTTCTTAACATTACAGCCACAAGATGATACTTCCAAAAATTCTTGAATAAAACACTTTTTGTACTATACAAAGAACGTAGGGGGAAATGAATGTAACTCTTGCCAACAATTAGTTTTCTCCTCAATCATTCATTTCCACATATGACATATTCCTTTATATTCATAATCTTAGCACAGAAGTTCTACACGTACTTCTAGCGTAAGGAAATTGAATCACTTCTCCTTTTCTCTCTCGAACATGGTAAGCCCATGTTTCGAACAACTTGATAATTATGTAGTAATGCATGGATAATATTGTTTTCATCATATCAATGTTTATGACAGGTTTTGGTGCAACAAAATGGAGGCAAAGATGGAGAGAGTGATAAAACTCTGGTGGATTTTCGAGGAAAGCCAGTCGATAGGTCACGAACTGGTGGATGGCTGGCGGCCGGGCTTATCTTAGGTGATGCTTTTAACATTTTGATGTAATATATGTTTGAAAAGTAGCTAATAATGTATTTAATTCTTGTTTCAGGGACTGAGTTATCTGAGAGAATTTGTGTCATGGGAATATCGATGAACTTGGTGACTTATTTAGTAGGAATCTTGCATCTTTCATCTGCAAACTCTGCAAACATTGTGACAAACTTCATGGGAACTCTCAATCTTCTAGGCCTCCTTGGTGGTTTCTTGGCAGATGCTAAACTTGGCCGTTATTTGACAGTTGCAATATTTGCTTCTATAACTGCTTTGGTAAGCCTGAGCATCAGTATCCAGTAACCTTCGTATATCATGTTTAATGTTGTCCAGTTGAATCTATCAAACACGTAACGAAAGCTTTATCAGCACTATATTTTTGTCTCTCATATAATATCTCTGTAGATGCATAAATTGCAAATTTTACAGCCTTTAAAACTTTATGCGTAAATGAATTACAAGAGAAATAATTTCATCAATCCTATACATTGAACCAGGGAGTAACATTGTTGACATTGGCCACAAGCATTTCTAGCATGAGGCCTCCACCGTGCAGTAACTCGAGGAGACAGCAGTGTATCGAGGCCAGCGGCAGGCAACTAGCTATGCTTTATATCGCTCTCTATACAATAGCATTGGGAGGCGGTGGAATCAAATCAAATGTCTCTGGTTTTGGTTCTGACCAGTTTGACATATCAAATCCTAAAGAGGAGAAGGCAATGATCTATTTCTTCAATAGATTTTATTTCTGCATTAGCCTTGGATCCTTGTTCGCCGTTACAGTTTTAGTGTATATACAAGACAATGTAGGCAGAGGATGGGGATATGGAATATCGGCTGGGACGATGATTATAGCTGTTGCTATATTGCTGTGTGGGACGCCTTTATACCGATTTAGGAAGCCTCAAGGTAGTCCTTTAACTCTCTTGTGGAGGGTCATTTTCTTGGCTTGGAAGAAGAGGACCCTTCCTTATCCTTCTCATCTCAGCTTGTTGAATGAATATTACAACGCAGAAGTTCCTCACACCGAACGACTCAGGTAAATGAAATCAATTTTTCTTCATATGTTTTGCTGATAAATGTGAAATTTTAAAGTTACTAATGTAACTCTGATCAATGAGAGCACTTTTTCCCATTTTTAAATGTCTAATTTATAAATTGGAACCATGGCCTCAATCATCTCTGCTAGCTCAATTCACCTAGTTATATAGAACAATTACTTTGAACTACTGCTTCAAAAAGATAGTTCTACTTGGAAATAAATGGCGCCTTTAGAAATCAGACGAGGTGTGTTTCTCAGGAATGAAATAATGGAAATTACTTTGAATTATCTGTATAAATGATGGAAAATATCTGCAGTGGCAGGTTCTGATGCTAACAACTGTGTTTTTATCCTCCGAACGTTCTGTCATGATTGAAATCGTAATGTTAAGACGTAACTGTGAATCTGCACTCTCCATTGTAGAAAATCCAACACTGCAATTGCTAATTTTTCAGTTGTCTAGACAAGGCAGCAATCATGGATGATCATGCAATTGCCACTGAAAACAGAGACAATCCTTGGAAAGTTTCAACAGTTACACTAGTTGAAGAAGTGAAAATGGTACTTAAACTTATACCCATATGGTCCACTTGTATACTCTTCTGGACAGTATACTCTCAGATGAATACATTCACCATTGAACAAGCAACCTTCATGAACAGGAATGTTGGAAGTTTCGTTATTCCTTCCGGCTCCTTCTCCTTCTTTCTTTTCATCACCATTCTTCTGTTCACATCCCTTAACGAAAGAGTCGTGGTACGCATTGCTAGAAAAATCACCCATAATGTCCAAGGAATCACGAGCCTTCAAAGAGTAGGAATTGGACTGGTATTTTCAATCATCGGCATGATAGCTGCTGCACTTGTAGAAAAGAAAAGAAGAGAAAATGCCACACATCATATTATCAATATAAGAGCTTTCTGGCTTGTCCCTCAGTTCTTCCTCGTGGGAGCCGGTGAAGCATTTGCATACGTCGGTCAGCTGGAATTTTTCATTAGAGAGGCACCCGAAAGGATGAAATCAATGAGCACCGGCTTATTCCTCAGCACACTCTCAATGGGTTATTTTGTGAGTAGCCTGCTGGTTTCTCTAGTCGATAAAGCAACAAAAGGAACCTGGCTAAGGAGCAATCTCAATAAGGGAAAATTGGAAAATTTCTACTGGATGCTTGCAGTTCTTGGAGTGATAAATTTCTTGGTGTTTTTGGCCTTTGCAATGAGTCATCATTACAAGGTGCAAGTACTTGGCCATTTACGTGTAAAAGTCATTTTGCCAATTTCTTCATGGACCCTCTTCAACTTGTCAAGCTCTTCCAAACTAATTCATAAACCCAAAACTTTATTCAATACACCGATGTATCACGTCTAACACTATGTTCGGACAGAATCAATACCAGACATCGATTCCTAAGCCAACAGGTGAAGATACTACCAAACTTTCGCCTAAGATCAATGTCCCCACTCACGGGATACAAATCGTAACAAGTGTTGAGTTTTTATCAGAATCTGGTCCCACGAAATTGCCCTATAGAGATATGAACCATTTCTTTGAAGTGTCATTGTCATTTCTCTGTAGCTCTGATCTGAATACGGTTCTTAACATTACAGCCACAAGATGATACTTCCAAAAATTCTTGAATAAAACACTTTTTGTACTATACAAAGAACGTAGGGGGAAATGAATGTAACTCTTGCCAACAATTAGTTTTCTCCTCAATCATTCATTTCCACATATGACATATTCCTTTATATTCATAATCTTAGCACAGAAGTTGTACACGTACTTCTAGCGTAAGGAAATTGAATCACTTCTCCTTTTCTCTCTCGAAAATGGTAAGCCCATATTTCGAACAACTTGATAATTATGTAGTAATGCATGGATAATATTGTTTTCATCATATCAATGTTTATGACAGGTTTTGGTGCAACAAAATGGAGGCAAAGATGGAGAGAGTGATAAAACTCTGGTGGATTTTCGAGGAAAGCCAGTCGATAGGTCACGAACTGGTGGATGGCTGGCGGCCGGTCTTATCTTAGGTGATGCTTTTAACATTTTGATGTAATATATGTTTGAAAAGTAGCTAATAATGTATTTAATTCTTGTTTCAGGGACTGAGTTATCTGAGAGAATTTGTGTCATGGGAATATCGATGAACTTGGTGACTTATTTAGTAGGAATCTTGCATCTTTCATCTGCACAATCTGCAAACATTGTGACAAACTTCATGGGAACTCTCAATCTTCTAGGCCTCCTTGGTGGTTTCTTGGCAGATGCTAAACTTGGCCGTTATTTGACAGTTGCAATCTTTGCTTCTATAACTGCTTTGGTAAGCCAGAGCATTAGCATCCAGTAACCTTCGTATATCATGTTTAATGTTGTCCAATTGAATCTATCAAACACGTAACGAAAGCTTTATCAGCACTATATTTTTGTCTCTCATATAATATCTCTGTAGATGCATAAATTGCAAATTTTATAGCCTTTAAAACTTTTTGCGTAAATGAATTACAAGAGAAATAATTTCATCAATCCTACACATTGAACCAGGGAGTAACATTATTGACATTGGCCACAAGCATTTCTAGCATGAGGCCTCCTCCGTGCAGTAACTCGAGGAGACAGCAGTGTATCGAGGCCAGCGGCAGGCAACTAGCTATGCTTTATATCGCTCTCTATACAATAGCATTGGGAGGCGGTGGAATCAAATCAAATGTCTCTGGTTTTGGTTCTGATCAGTTTGACATATCAAATCCTAAAGAGGAGAAGGCAATGATCTATTTCTTCAATAGATTTTATTTCTCTATTAGCCTTGGATCCTTGTTCGCCGTTACAGTTTTAGTGTATATACAAGACCATGTAGGCAGAGGATGGGGATATGGAATATCGGCTGGGACGATGATTATAGCTGTTGCTATATTGCTGTGTGGGACGCCTTTATACCGATTTAGGAAGCCTCAAGGTAGTCCTTTAACTGTCTTGTGGAGGGTCATTTTCTTGGCTTGGAAGAAGAGGACCCTTCCTTATCCTTCTCATCCCAGCTTGTTGAATGAATATTACAACACAGAAGTTCCCCACACCGAACGACTCAGGTAAATGAAATCAATTTATCTCCATATGTTTTGCTGATAAATTTGACCAAGAATGTGAAATTTTAAAGTTACTTGTGTAACTCTGATCAACGAGAGCACTTTTTCCCATTTTTAAGTGTCTAATTTCTAAATTGGAACCATGGCCTCAATCATCTCTGCTAGCTCAATTCACTTAGTTATATAGAACAATTACTTTGAACTCCTGCTTCAAAAAGATTGTTCTACTTGGAAATAAATGGCGCCTTTAGAAATGAAACCAGTGTTCTTCTCCATTACTGTGCAGACGAAGTGTGTTTCTCAGGAATGAAATAATGGAAATTACTTTGAATTATCTGTATAAATGACGGAAAATATCTGCAGTGGCAGGTTCTGATGCTAACAACTGTGTTTTTATCCTCCGAACGTTCTGTCATGATTGAAATCGTAATGTTAAGACGTAACTGTGAATCTGCACTCTCCATTGTAGAAAATCCAACACTGCAATTGCTAATTTTTCAGTTGTCTAGACAAGGCAGCAATCATGGATGATCATGCAATTGCCACTGAAAACAGAGACAATCCTTGGAAAGTTTCAACAGTTACACAAGTTGAAGAAGTGAAAATGGTACTTAAACTTATACCCATATGGTCCACTTGTATACTCTTCTGGACAGTATACTCTCAGATGAATACATTCACCATTGAACAAGCAACCTTCATGAACAGGAATGTTGGAAGTTTCGTTATTCCTTCCGGCTCCTTCTCCTTCTTTCTTTTCATCACCATTCTTCTGTTCACATCCCTTAACGAAAGAGTCGTGGTACGCATTGCTAGAAAAATCACCCATAATGTCCAAGGAATCACGAGCCTTCAAAGAGTAGGAATTGGACTGGTATTTTCAATCATCGGCATGATAGCTGCTGCACTTGTAGAAAAGAAAAGAAGAGAAAATGCCACACATCATATTATCAATATAAGAGCTTTCTGGCTTGTCCCTCAGTTCTTCCTCGTGGGAGCCGGTGAAGCATTTGCATACGTCGGTCAGCTGGAATTTTTCATTAGAGAGGCACCCGAAAGGATGAAATCAATGAGCACCGGCTTATTCCTCAGCACACTCTCAATGGGTTATTTTGTGAGTAGCCTGCTGGTTTCTCTAGTCGATAAAGCAACAAAAGGAACCTGGCTAAGGAGCAATCTCAATAAGGGAAAATTGGAAAATTTCTACTGGATGCTTGCAGTTCTTGGAGTGATAAATTTCTTGGTGTTTTTGGCCTTTGCAATGAGTCATCATTACAAGGTGCACAATTATGATGGCCCTGCCGCTCGAGACGAAGAGCTCAAGAATGGGAAGGAGATGTCAATTAAACAAGGGGAAAACAAATTAGATGAGGCGAAGGAAGAACCTTAGTTTGTAGACTGGTTGCTCCCCTCTATATTTTCTAAAGAATCAAGATGAAAGTTGTGTTCAAATATTTACAAGAGATTTATAATCATCCCAAGCATACTCTAATTTATTCTTATTCATCTCTGTAATGTTTTGTTGTTTTTAATCTTTTGACCGAGTTATAAATTGGCTCTCAAATATCGTCATCTTCTCCAATTCTTACCTCACCCCCAGGGGCGGAGCCTGTAGCGGTCTGTGCTGGCTCCATCAAAATTATTATTATTATTATTTTTACTTTATAGTGGGTGGACGTACCTGAGTCTGTCCATGCTTACTTGGATTCCTAGATCCGTCACTTCTCACTCCTACTCCCAAGTCCTACCTCTACATGATCCCAACCCATCTGGTCTTCCCACCATGCTGGCATTTCGCTGCTCCCACCGCCACCATAAAACATGTACTCCATTAATAGGAAAACATAACAGATCCTTGATACCATTACCTACACAACAGATAGACCTAAACCATTATATATGCATATCACTCACTCCTGACCCTTTCTAGTAGGTTAATTTAGTTTCAATTTTCAATAAATTAATGTGGCCCAAACGATTTTGAACAAACTAGACAGAGCTAATGAATTATTTGCTAATTTCTGATAATTATGTAACTAACTTCATAGGAACGTCATGGATGAAGAGAAATGCTTGCAAATGTTAGGTTAGATTGCTATTTATACTTTTTTGATCAATTTGGTCCGCAACAAGAATTAACGAGCCAATGCCATCATTATTATTATTATTATTATTTGATAACTCAGGTGTCCAACGTAAATAGATTTGTAAAAAATACAGATGGTGGCCATATTAGTTTTAAAATTGAGTTCTACTCTAAATCATTGTTATATTCGCAATATGAGAGAAGTCATCTAGGGCTGCACTTACTACTCGTATACTTTCAACAATTATTGTTCGACTATTCGGTGTTTACTTTGAACATGATTGCCATTTACCAGCACATTAGCGATGTATCCTCTTTAAATCCTCTTTTTCAAGTATTTCATAGAAGTGGATACTATTCATGGTGCTAATTGTTCTTGGAAAGAAGGGTTGTGTGACTTGTATCAGTGGTTAGCAAGGGATTGTAACGTACGATAGAGATGATGGGGTGGAGTGTTCATTGTTTGGCAAATATTTCTTTGTTGCTCTTTCTATATTTTTTCATGTTATTTTTATTTAATTTAAAAATAAGATTATTATTATTATTATTGTTGTTGTTGATGTTGTTGTTGTTGACACATTAAAAGTGCAGCCCAAATCGAATAGCTCAGGGAACGAAGCCCAATTGAGGAATCCCCAAATAAAATAACCCAAAGAATGAAGCCCAACTGGGCAATTCAGAATAAAGGCCCTGATAAGGTTATTAATGAATGTAGTGGAAGCCCACGAACACAGTAACATCATCGCCCAAGCTTGCAATAAGCCCAAGATCTAAGCGAATGAAGTGCCTTACAGTCGCCCAGACCTTCGAATCACCCAAGATCTTAGCAAACATAAGATGTTATGGTTATCCAGAAGCGCAGTTATTGAAGTAGTTATCGAATAACCTTATCACGTTCCACGATTCAAGGAGTTTAGTTGAAGACGGTTGAACGACAAAGAGTAGTGGCAGCAATTAGAGACAGCAGTTTCACGACACGTTAGCCACCATAGAGAAAGTGGGTAGTTAAAAAGCAATCAAGTAGTTTATAAGCGGTTGATCACGAAGAAATCATCAAGGGAATATAAAAGGAAGAGAAGACATAGAGTAAAGGAACCCCGAAAAAAAACTCTCAAACAGAGAATATGTAATTTCAATTTCTCAGTTTAGACTTTTTATTTCTTTTCAGTACTCGTATGCTTGCGCCCCTTGTAGGCATTCTGTTTAGTTTCCAATTGTAAAGTCATCGCCAATAAAACACCCCTTTTTGGGACTTTGTCTCAAAAGGTTTGTTTCTTATACAATCGTCTGATCCCTTTTTAATTGTTAGCGACTACCCGCGCGAAACAATTTGGCACGCCCAATGGGACCCTGGTGTTTGGTGTTGAATATACAAAAAGTGAAACAATATGCCTCAGAAATCTGATAAGGAAGCAAGTCAGGGAGGAGTTCAGTCTGTGATCGAGCGATATGAGGAGCAGCATAGCTCTCCACAAACAGATGGACAGAATCAGAGCAGTCATAGTCGTTACGAACCAATGACAGAGTTGAGTCCTCGAACTATGCATGCATTACTTGGAGAACTCACACAGGATGTCGTTGAACAGGTAAATCTACGAAATATTCATAATATGGAAAGACTTACCCAGAATGGGAATGCACATTATGATAACGTGGCCAAACAACTGAATACTTTGAATGAAATAATGAATAAGTTAGTAGGCCAAATTTGTCAGCCAGTCGTGTCTCTTGCAAATCACTTCCAAACTAGGACAATTGTGGGACATAATCCCCCAGTCCTAAGTCCAAATCAAGGGGTAGAATCACTTTTTGGTCCCTCTACTTCAAACTAGGGGGACGGTGTAATGCCAAATCAGAATGGTGGCAATGATACATCTAACTTGGGGGGTAACTTAAACGTAAGAGATAATATCCTAAATAATGGACAGAATGCCCCACGTATTAATGATGGGGTAAATATTCAGGCTAATGGTAACAATGGCCCAAATCATGGAAAATTTGTTGCCAATCAAGGACCAAATATCAGGCCTCAAGCAAATCAACCGGTCAACCAACCTGTAGGAATTTCATATGACCCCAACGTCATGTTGAGGAATCAAATTATGGAAATAGTACAGGATCAGATGGCTTTTGGGGTACGTCCTGTCATTAGGCCAACTTACACAAAGTCATATCCTAAGTGGGTAGACCAAGCATATCCATCGCCTAGAGGGTATAAAGTGTCAGAATTCTCACTATTTACCGATTTATGAGAGGTGTCTACGCTAGAACACATAGGGCGATTCACACTACAAAGTGGTGACATAACTGATTACCATAAAATGAGGTTGTTCCCTAGTTCATTAACAGGAGTAGCTTTCTCCTGGTTCATCAATTTGCCAGCGAACTCTGTTCAAACATGGCAACTATTGGAGCAATTGTTCCACGTTCAGTTTTATAAGACTGAGTCCGAAATTACTTTGGCCGATTTGGCGAATCTACGTCAAATGCCAAACGAATGGGCAGAAGGTTTCCTTCAAAGGTTCAAGACAGTAAGAAGTAAATATTTTGTACCTTTGCCTGAAAAGGAGTTTGTCAAAATCACTCAAAGTTGTCTAAGCTTTGATTTGAAAAAGAAGTTCCAAGACAAGAAATTTCCCGATCTTTTCTAATTGAGCGCGAACGTGATTAGGTATGAACGATTAATAAGAGAAGAAGAGCAAATGAAAAATTCTAGTAAAAGGACTTATTATAGAAACCCAAAATTTGATGTTCATACCATTTATGACGAGTATTACGATCAAACCAAAATGTGTTTGGCCGAATTAATTAAGGAGACACGTATACTTGTCCTATAATGGCTAAGCCTAGACTGTCAGGCAAAAATGAGCTTATAAAAGATGAAAACAAAAAAGCTAGAACGTTCTCGTTCGATGTAACCAAAGCTGACCTTATATTTGATAAACTATATAAGGATAAGCAGATAAAGCTGAGCGATAAACATAAATTGCCAAGCCTTGAACAAGTTAAGGGTAAAAAATATTGTAAGTGGCATAATACATGGTCACATTTGACTAATAACTGTTTGATTTTTTGCCATGTGTTACAGGATGCCATTGAATCCGGACGAATTACGTTCGAGGATAAGAGAAAGATGGCAGTGGATGAAAACCCTTTTCCGCAGCTACTTAGGGTGAGCATGGTGACGACTGGTTTCAAAAATAAGTTGTCAAAATTCAAGTTAGTTATAGATGACGGGGAAGAGGACCTTGGACCGCATTCTAGTGTCTTTGAACGTATCAAAGGGAAAGAGCCTGAAAAGGTTGAAGACATCCTGTGTGCAAGATGTAAAAGAGAAGTGAGTGGGAATACAGAGAAACCAGTGATATGGCAGCATCACCGTCGCCCTATTTTTTCTCCAAACGCTCAGCCTGGTAGAGGGCGAGGTACATCGGCCTATAGGGGATCGCCTTTTGAGAGGCAGTTCAGGCCAGTGAATAATGGGAGAACATTCAGGCCACAGTCTCGCCAACCAAATGTATGGCATTCGTTTCAGTATAATGCAGGAAGGGCGATACCCTTCAACGAGATGACTAGAACCCAACAAAGGCGTTTTCAACGGAACTATGGACGGATGATGAGGCAACAACAGGGAATGCCACGTCCTAAGGCGCCTAAGCTACTCGAGGTGGCCAATCAAAATATTCTTGAAGACGGTATGGAGACCGGTACAGGCGAATCGATGAAAGAATTACCAGAAAGTTCTTCTGGTAGGTCGAAATTTGAGCAAGACAGAAGAGATGGAGAAGATCCAGATCAGTCCCTTACTATTCAGTTTGGTACGTTACCTCTTGTTATGGCTAATAACTATTTGCTAGCCAATGAGTTCAAGAATAAAGAGAAAGAAGAAGAAGAGGGGAAGGATAACGAAGAAGAAGTATGCGTGCTGGAATATATGAAGAAGGCCAAACTTTTAGAGGGGCCTACGATGATGAAGGAGATGATGGTATGACGAATATCGAAGAGAAAATTGATTTGGAAGCAGAAAGAAGAAAAAGAGGAGTATCATACAATACTCTGTTGAAGCAACTATATCGAGAGGGGGTTCGTGAAGTGGACTTCTTAGGGGAGCCGTCTAGGCGTTCTTTCAATTATTACGTGCTGTACGGGATGCCCAAAAGAAAAGAGAGAGTTCATCGCTCTGAAAAGTATGGATCACCTCCAAGAATAATGCCTCCTCCCACAGGTTAAGTAACTGAAGAAGAAGCATTAGAAAACAGTAAAAAGGAAATGCAGGAAACGGAAGCTCAGTACGACATGCTGCACGTTGACTTATCACAAAAGGATAACTCGACAGAGGACGAGCAGGAAGTGGAAATAGATACTGCCGAAAAAGTTATTTTTAAGCAGCCAGCCATGAAGTTAACTAAACACTTGAGACTATTGTACGTTAAAGCTCTAGTTAAC